GAAAGAGGGCCAATGTGGGGCCGTGCAGGGGCAGCCCGGGAGGCTGCTGGACCCCCCAGGCGGAGGCAGGTGAGAACCCCCCCGCCGGATGCGCAGCGCTTTGCCCGCTGCAGCTGCCCCAGTGCCTGCCGCTGCTGCCTCCTGGCCAGGTGGCCCCCACCACCCTGACCTGGTCCCCGGGTTCCCAAACCGGCGGGGCAGAGCTGGAAGCAGCAGATGGAGATCCGGGAGCGCACAAGGGCCAGAGCATCCTCAGTGCCACTCCGCGTACCCCACAGCGCCAGACCTGCCCTGTCCCAGAGGGAGCAGCCCAGGCAGACCCAGCAAGGGCTTCAGGAGCTGGCCATGGGTAGTGACTGCAGCCACACCGGCGACATCCTTTAGAGAGGTTATCCTTTTTTCCCCTTTTTATCAGTTGTTTAGGGTTTTTAAACAAGGATAAATAGATGTTGCAAGAGGGTTCATCCTTACCTATCCCAGTAAATATTTGGGAATGGCCATTTTTCTCTTTGTTCTCTTTTTTTTCTGGTTTTCTTTCAAAACCAGAGAAAAACATAGGCCTGGTGAGTGATGTTGCTCTTGTAAACTCCCCCTCTTTGGTTGCAGGGGTGTAGGCTGGGTAGGTGCCGTAACCCTCGCTGCTTATGGAATTTTTGGTTTGAGATCCCACGTTCCCCCCAATCAGCAGCCAGTGACATCGTGCCTCATCGACTGTCCAAACAGCCTTCAAAGGTGCTCTTTTACAGATTACACCCCCCTTTGGCTTTAGCTGAAAAAGAAATGGTTTAAGAGACAGAGAGGGAGTCACAGTCTTATTGAGAATGTGACTGAAATCAGAGTTTTCTAAATGACAGCAGCCTCACCCTCAGCTCGTGCAAAGCGAGCCTTCACTAGACTCTCCTAAGCTTGAGAGAGTGCTGTGGTTCACAGCCTGGTTGGTTTGCTTGTGGGTCTTGCTTGTTGTAAGTCAGCTGTCTCTTCTTCTTCCAAGGAGAAGCACGCACACGGAATGGCTGCTGCCGCCTTGCTGCTTGCCAACCTCACCAACAGCAGTGACAGCGGCTGCAACGTGCATCACCACCGCTACACAGCAAAGGTGATTTTTTCATGCTTTTACATAATCCTGCTGGTCTTTGGCTCCTGTGGGAATATCCTTGCCCTTTGTGTCACCTTTCAGCGAGGGAAGAAGAAAATCAACTCTACTGACCTCTACCTGATCAACCTGGCTCTGTCTGATGCCCTCTTCACACTTGCACTGCCAGGAAGGATTGCCTACTATCTCCTGGAATTCAATTGGCCCTTTGGGGACTTGTTTTGCCGGGTGACAGCTTTCATCTTCTACATGAACACCTACGTGGGCATCTACTTCATGACCTGTGTGAGTGTGGACCGCTACATTGCAGTGGTCCGTAGCCGGTGCCTGGGCAAGTTCAGAAGGGTCAGCCGTGTAAAATATATCTGTGGGGTGGTTTGGTTGCTAGTATTCCTCCAGACAATGCCACTGCTCATGCGGCCCATGACAAAGATGATGGGAGACAAGCTGACCTGCATGGAGTACTTCAACTTTGAAGAGATTCCCAAACTTCCCATCATCCTCCTGGGAGCTTGCATGGTGGGGTTCCTCTTGCCTGTCGGAATTATATTGGTTTGCTACGTGCGGATCAACCTCAAATTGTGCAGAGCAGCCAAAGAAAACCCTCTGACCGACAAGAATGGGCACCACCGAAAGGCTGTCACAGTTATCGTGGTGGTGCTCCTGGCTGTAGTGATGTGTTTTAGCCCTTACCATGTAAATATCATTCAGTTCATGATCAGGAAGATCTTGTACCAGCCATCCTGCTTGGAGCAGAAAGCTTTCAAGATGTCTTTACAAGTCACAGTGGCTATGATGAACATGAACTGTTGCATTGATCCGATCATTTATTTCTTTGCATTTAGAGGCTATAAGAGGAGGCTCCTCAGGATCTTTAAAAACAGTGGCTCCACTCTCTCCTCCTCCACTGCCAAGACACCTTCAGAAAGCAACAGCAACAGCCACAACCAAGGAGCTTGCTCTTTGTCAGTTTAGCTAGCTCTTTGTCAGTTTGCCTTCATCTGCTTAGAGCTTTAACTTAAAATTACCCCCAACTGCACTGGTGTGACTCCATGCATAGTAGCAGAAGTTGGAATGCAAGTGCAGGCAAGAAGTTGGCATTTTTACCATTCTTCCTGTGCAGCGCAGCATGACCCTGGAGTAATATCACTAGCAGCTTTTCTATTCTTTTACTGGCTGCAGTGGTGGTGACCCAGGGGCAGTGCCATGGTGGGAAGTTTTAAGAAAAAACAGGGAATAGATACAGCTTTAGGCCAAGATATATATTTCACTTATTACATATTGTGGCTGTGTATAACTAACTATACATAGTCACAAGGTTTAATGATTCCTGAAACCAGTTCTAACACGCTGACAGATGTGTGTTGTATGCTGAAGATGCAGTGCTTCTGCTAGATACAGGGCATCACACAAAATTCAGCAAAAAACAAAGGCACCGGAGGTACTCAAAACCCCTTGGAAATGTCCTTCTGTGCTTTGCATATAATGCAGCTTTATCTTCTGGACATACTCAATATTTTGTTTGCTTCCTAAATAAAGGGAGTTGCCATGAGCTTTTAACCATTCAGGATTTAATTTGGTGTACTTGAACCTAGCAAACAGAGTTGGAAACTGTTTTTGACCACCTTAAACTCTCCATTGGTATTTGACATGAAGCCAGCTTTCTCTGTTTCTTTCCTGTGACTGGAATTATACCAACATATACCGAGTGTCCACTGTTGACTAGGACTGGGTTAAAAGAGCAGCAGGAACAAAAGTCGGACCTCAGCTACCTAAGCTCAGCTTATCTACAGTAAATTTAAAAAATGAAAGTGACTCAAAGTTTCTGAAATTCTCCAGCAACCTGACATTGTATTGTGGGAAAAGTACAAAAGAGAACTGTGAAGTCTGTCACAACAGTTCCTGTAATTAATGATTGTAGTCTAATAACTGGCAAAGGTCTGAGACAGTAAAGAAGTTGGGGTATGAGGAGAACTACATGTTTTCATTTTGCTAGTAAGCTTAAGAGTTTGCCCTTTATTTTAGGGGAAAGTGCACAGTAGATTTTCAAATTATGACTATTTTAACTAAATGTAAAGGCTTTTAGAAAGCAATCTCTGCCCTTCTTCAAATGGGTCAGGAGCAGTTGCATTGCCTTAACTATACCGGGTAGGACCATATGTAAGACTGAAAAACCTAGGTTTTATAAACTATTTAAGATTACTCATTTATTAGAAATAGGGAGATTTACCTACTAATAGCTAACTTTCTGGAAAGCTATTGTAAGCTCTGAATGTTTTTGTAAGTCAGTGTCATGACAGTTGTACAAACTACACAAAGTTTGAGATGTTTATAGGTCACATGCGATGGTACTAGTCAGGCATAATAATTAGAAGTACAATATTAATACACATAATGAAGAGAGAGAGAGTCCTTGCCCTGGACAGAGGTTGGGACTCTCTCAGCTTCTGAAGACTAGATACTACTGTATGTTGTTTGCATTGCCCGTTTTTAACCCAACTTTGGATGACTGAGGTCTGTGAAGCTTGTCGGTAGACTTTATGACCAGTCTATCAAGAAACTGGAAGGCAAACATTACAATCTTTACTAAACTTCAGTAATTAAAAGAATGCACAGAACCAGCTGCTTTTCCAGGCTGTACATTAGAAGTAACAAATTTTGTAGAGGAAATAAGTGAAATAGCCAAGTGGTCTAAGGTGCCAGACTCAAGAGCATGTTTTTCAAAGACAGACAAGGTTCTTTGGGTAAATCCAATATCTTTTATTAGACCAATTCAGATAGTTAGAAATGTTTTTCAAAGGTGGTGAATGGCCACTCTAGATATACCTTGTTCATATGCTCTTCCTCTAAAGCATCCACTCCTGCCATTGCTGGAGACAGGATACTAGTCAAAATGGACCATTGGTCTGACCCAGAATGGAATTGCATATGTTCTTAAATTAGTTTGGAAATCCACTCATGAATTTGGACAGAGGAAAGAATATAAAAACAATGTACGCATATTTTTTCCTCGCACTGGTAGGAGCTTGAGATGAATAAATGTACTTTTAAAAAGTCTGTGAAACCTTTTAAATGCTTTTCTTTGTGGACAAAAACATGTTTTCCTAACAGAAACCTTACTAGGCTTTATTCTGTATTAATTTTTTTTCTTCAAATAATAAAACATGTCTTGTGAATTGCAAATTTTTTTTGTACATAACAAAGCTTCCACTTGTTCCTAAACTGACTACAGATGTCACAAAAGCTCCATTTTCCCTGTACTGCTTGTGTTCCATGCCCTCCTTCAAATGCACTTCTTTCACCAAACTTACTTAAATTACTCACCCTTAGACACTTATTTAAAAAAATTGTAATCTGCACATGATAGGATCAGGATCTAAGTGACCAACGGAACTGGCAGAGGTGATGACTACTCTTTGAGGGGCAGGACGCACTCAGTTCTCACTGAAGTCAAAGGTAGGCAACGGTGACAGCACCCTGCAGGATTGGACCCTCAGCTTGTAAGATCACTGAAGTAAGGACATAATTTTCTTTGCCTTTCGTGCCCTTCTGACTGAGCCAGATAGAGTCCTGGTTTGCAGCAAACACTTCTGAGTTTACAATGCACCTTCTTTCTTATACTGAAGCACAACGATCTAGGAATTTTCCAAACAGAAAAGCAGCTCACCCACAGTAGCTCAGATTTTAACAGAAGGAGAAAGTGATACAGCATATGATAGGCCTCTTACCATTACCACAACTAAGATCATAAACAAAGATCATGCAGCCCAACTTTTAACTGTAGACCCTTGACTCTTCCTCCTCCTTCAGGTTTTCCTTTGCCAACCCACCCTTTCCAGCACTTAAATGTTAGATAATGTGTGTCCAGGGAAAGGCAGGCTGGTGAGTAATGAAAGCCTACCACTACTAAAAGGCACAAAAGTAAGGTTCTGAATTCCTTCTCCAGGGCTTCTTAATACTGGGGAGGAGTACATAAAAGGAAAAGTTTGGCTCCTGGAGAAAGTGTAGATATTCTATTATATTCTGTTCTGGTTCTTTTATCATCAAAAGGGCGTGTGAGAGTGCCTTCAAGAAGGAGATTAATATGGCTATCTGTTACTTGTGGTTTTTTTCTCTCTCTCTCATATCTTCCCCAAGGGGAAAAATGTATGTGAGCTGGCGACAAAAAAAAAAAAAACACAAAAAAAAGATTTTATCCATCAGCAGTTGCATGTCTCTGACCACCAACACTTTCTCTGCCAATAGCTGCACATAAAACTATCCCTGGAGTAGAATAAGTTTTGACGGAATACAGCTTTTTTGATTTTCTTCACCACAGGAAGTTTTATCCTCTGGTGACCTGTAGCACATCAGTTTTTAGTTGTCTAATAACGGGGGGAAAGGACTTACTAGTAGCAATTTATATTCAAAGACCACTCAGTACATAAGATTTATTCGAAGTCATTTTGTAGGCAACTTACTGGGTATATAGGCTATATTTTTCAAAGGCAATCAGCCAGCTCTCTTCAAAAGCCTACCTCATAATTTCTAGTTGAAGTATATCAAAAACAATCAAATAAATTATAGCTCAAAAGTGCAAAATGCATACCACATTTTCCCATACAACATGGCTCCCAGTAAAACATTCACTTGGTTTTTGGAAAGCAAAATGTAGTCATGGTCAAGTGTATGGCATAGAGCAAGTCCTCCTGGGAACACAGCATGTCCAGAATGTGTGGAACCAAGATGTTCCTGGTGCAAGTTGCCTTATCCACGTTGATCCTGGAATGCCATATTCTTCCTGGGTATTCTGGCCATGTCCAGACGAGCATGGCTGTGCAGTATGTGGCACCGCAGACCCACCTGCAGCACCACACACCGCACATTCAGGTGTTCCCCACACTGCAAGGTAGCAGTGCAGGTGGATTTTTTGACCCTGGGAGATCCTGGGGTCAAAAAAACCCATGTGAAACAAAAGTGGGGCAGCTCATGTGGAGGCAGTGTGTGCCACCCAAAACCAGAGCCTGGCTGGCTAGATCCAAACTCTGGCTGCCAGCCAGGCTCTGAGCAGCAGGAGCGCTGCAACTGCAGCTCCCCAAGGCCTCCAGAACCCCAGGGGAGGCTGCTGGGGCCAGCACAGTTGCCAGCCCCAGCCTTGCCTATCCCACCCAGGGTAACCAGCTGTGGGCCAGAGAGCACATGGCACAGGTATTCCCCAAGGACAAGTAGCAGCACAAGGTAAAACAAATCCTGTCACAAAGTTAAGTCCCAAACCCTTGCAAAGACAATAGCGAAACTGTTCATTCTTTACTGTAAGGTTCTTCATAGAAGTTCCTGTAAATAAAGTATTGTTTTCACATTATAAGCCTCATTGAGATACTACCAGCAGCTCACTTGCTGCTTCGGGCACAAGCTACCATGCTCAACTTGTCTGTTTCAACCCACATTTTCTGTCACTGGCTTTCAAGTTTTTCTCCCACACACTTCTTCTGGTGCACAGCACCTGAGGACTCAGAAGATTTGTATGATGCTGGGGAAAGGACCGGAGGTGTTTGGGAATGATGAGATAATGGCAATGGCTAGGATGCTGTCAAAACTCATCAGCTCCATAGTCCTTTAGGCCTTTTGGAAGGCTACTGTCTCTGAATATACTTTGGAATTTAATACGAATCTATGAATCTTTGGAATTGAGCCACAACTGCACGGTTTTTACATATCCTTCATGTCAGGAGAATCCTGCCCATTGCTTGAATGACAAAGGCTGAAATGGTGAAAACTAGTTCATACACCTAAAACATTGCTATAGAACAACATCGTGATAACAAACCTCCATGAGACTAGGAGAAAAGCTCATTAAAAGAGAGTATACTACAGTTAGTCAATGTGCTGTATCATAATAGTGAAAATAAGCTTGCTGTTGGGATTGCTAAAAGCAGGTATTTGTTATAAACAGGGCTTGCTAGAATGAGGTTGTACAGCATATAAATTGGATATGTAAGTTAAATCAGTTATTTTAAATGAAACCTAAAAAGAGGTTTAAGGAGAGAAAGGTCATGTATTTTGGGGAATCTTGTTTACATGGATGTTGAATCTTCCAAGGGAACTTCAGAGGGAAGTCTTAGTTTCAAAGTGCAGGAATTCTAATAATTTTTGCATTTTCTGGCAAGTCTTTTTTACAGTTGGAATGGGATAAGCTAGAAAGGAAGCACATGCATAGAATTTAGGAG